AATTGTTCGTATGACAAAGAACACACTGTATATTAGTGAATCTTTTTGTTTTTACCTTTAAGATTATAAACAATACTCCGGACTATAAAACTGTCAAGTTTAGAGATACAGGAACTCAAATTTGAAATATGTGCATCATGCTTATTAAGAGATGATTCCCTAATATTTCGTTAAACCTTTTATTTAAGACAAACTACCAAATCTCCTGAGACCAGAGTTAACATAAATATGCAATAACTACTGGACTTCAGCGCTGTGTTCATTTATGTGAGAGATACAGGCCAATGTGTACATTGGACTAATTCACAAAAATTACTTCCTGTAATTCTACAGCTCAACGAAATATTGTGGAATCATCTCTTATTAAGCATGATGTACAAACATATTTCAAATTTGAGTTCTGGTATCTATAAACTTTGTCAAGCCATTGCACGACTTGACAAAGCTCCTGGAGAGCGAAACGTTGCTTCAATTAAAATGTCACCGTTCCACATGTGTCCATTTACCTAACGTTATGTCCGTAAATGAATTATTAGTGTAGATATATTCATTGGGAAGCGCTAAATCCATAAGGATCATACATCGCCTACATATCCAGATGTGTCTTACACACTCCTGGTGTGTTCTACACCTCTGATGTGCTCTAAACAGCCCTTGTGTTGTCTACCCACTCCTTGTGTGTTCTACACAGCCCTAATGTGCTCTGCACAGCCCTGGTGTGCTCTACGAAACTCTGGTGTGTTTTGTATAACCCTGGTGTGTGCTATATATCCCTAGTTTGCTCTACACAGCCCTGATGTGCTCTGCATAGCCCTGATGTGCTCTACACAGCCATGATGTGCTCTCCACAGCGCTGATGTGCTCTACACAGCGCTGATGTGTTCTACACAGCCCTGATGTGCTCTACACATCAGGGCTATACACAACCCTGATGTGCTATACACAGCCCTGATGTGGTATACACAGCCCTGATATGCTCTACACAGCCCTGATGTGCTATACACAGCCCTGATATAGTATACAAAGCCCTGATGTGCTCTACACAGACCTGATGCGCTATACACAGCCCTGATATAGTATACAAAGCCCTGATGTGCTCTACACAGACCTGATGCGCTATACACAGCCCTGATGTGCTATACACAGCCCTGATATAGTATACAAAACCCTGATGTGCTCTACACAGACCTGATGTGCTATACACAGCCCTGATGTGATATACACAGCCCTGATGTGATATACACAGCCCTGATGTGATATACACAGCCCTGATATAGTATACAAAACCCTGATGTGCTATACACAGCCCTGATGTGCTCTACACAGCCCTGATGTGATATACACAGCCCTGATATTGTATACAAAGCCCTGATGTGCTCTACACAGCCCTGATGTGCAATATACAGCCCTGATATTATATAAATAGTTAAAAAAACCGACAAGTTGATGAATCAGACATGTGTAACATTTGATCATCAGGTTGATGAATGAGACACATGTGTAACGTTTGATCATCAGGTTGATGAATGAGACACATGTGTAACGTTTGATCATCAAGTTGATGAATGAGACACATGTGTAACATTTGATTATCTTTAATACAGAAATGTTTCGTTGGCAGTGTCTTCCTCAGTCCAGTCTGACTACAACACTAACTGTAGCACTGACTGGAACACCGTGATTGTTACACCAAGACTGGAACACTGCGACTAAAGATACATCCTTCACTCAATGAATCATTAACAATGAAATCTTAATTTAATTACAGCAACCCGTTCATTATCACTACGAAGGGCATGAGGCAAAAAAAAATTAAACATTGACTGTCAATATTTTGTTGGTACACCTCCCCCACACATATACCTTCCTATATATATATATATATATATATATATATATATATATATATATATATATATATAATATATATATATATATATATATATGTCGTGCCGAATATGTAAAATTGGTCAATTAGCAAGAACTCATTTGAAATTAAGTCCTTTCTGAAATTTTCTCTTTTACGTTTAAAGATATATTTTTTCATTAATGTTAATGTAAAAAATTTTAATTAAATATATATACATATATTTATGTGTGTGTGTACTCACTTAGTTGTGGTTGCAGGGGTCGAGTCATAGCTTCTGGCCCCTCCTCTTCACTGGCCGCTACTGGGTCACTCTCCCTGCACCATGAGCTTTATCATCTCTTTGTGTGTGTGCAGTGTGTGTGTGTGTGTGTGTGTGTGTGTGTGTGTGTGTGTGTGTGTGTGTGTGTGTGTGTGTGTGTGTGTGTGTGTGTGTGTGCAGTGTGTGTGTGTAGTTAGTTACTAGTTGTCAAAGGCACGTGTGTGTATGTGTGTGTAAGGCGAGGTATACCTCGGGTACAAATTGTGGGGACCCAGAGCCTCTGAGTAAATAAAAAAAAATAGGCTTCGAAGAAAATATATACATGTATGTACTTCATATTATTGTGACCACGTTATTGGAAAAATAGTCTTTCCGAAAAAATCTTTCAATTGAGTTTAATGTAACAGGTGAAGAAACACAGCCGGTTTGCAAGCAAGTTTCTTGCTACAACCTCACACGTGCTCTGTTTACACGAACCTCGTGGTAACAGTATTGTTTTTGTTTACTTCGCCATCTACCAATCAGAGAAGGTTTCGACGTTCTCTTCCAGCCAATCACGCGAAGGCTCTTTGTTGATTAAATTTACTCGTCTCAACATATGAAGAAGCTTTGGCTACAGGCTACGTATTAAATATACATAAAAGTTAAAAACATACGTTTTCTATAAAATCAAATTGACTTTTCTTAGTTCACAGCAATTCCTCAATTCTATCTAAATTAAGCAATATGAAATTATGTGGAGAAGGACAAATAATTGATGTACTGAGAAAATATTGTCTGAACACATTAGTGACGTCACTGTGCGCCTACCTTGTACAAGTAGTGAATGTACGATACTTTACCTTGGCGTATAATTGAACTGCAATCAGTTCTATTGTATTTTTCCGATTTTTATTTTTACTTAAAATATCATCAATATATTTTTTCTTTATATTGACCTGTGATGCTAAAAAACAAATATATTCCTTCATTTTCTAATTAATGAAAATGCTTATTTACTCTGATTTTCATGTATTATATATACTCGGATTTCAATAATAATTTATTATTATTATTATTATTATTATTATTATTATTATATTATTATTATTATTATTATTATTTACATCACAAAGTGCCCTACACGTGAAGAAAAGTAGTCATAGGCTCATATTATATATATATATATATAATATATATATATATATATATAATATATATATATATAATATATATATATATATATATATATATATATATATATATATATATATATATATTTATTTATTTATTTATCACACTGGCCGATTCCCACCAAGGCAGGGTGGCCCGAAAAAGAAAAACTTTCACCATCATTCACTCCGTCACTGTCTTGCCAGAAGGGTGCTTTACACTACAGTTTTTAAACTGCAACATTAACACCCCTCCTTCAGAGTGCAGGCACTGTACATCCCATCTCCAGGACTCAAGTCCGCCCTGCCGGTTTCCCTGAACCCCTTCATAAATGTTACTTTGCTCACACTCCAACAGCACGTCAAGTATTAAAAACCATTTGTCTCCATTCACTCCTATCAAACACGCTCACGCATGCCTGCTGGAAGTCCAAGCCCCTCGCACACAAAACCTCCTTTACCCCCTCCCTCCAACCTTTCCTAGGCCGACCCCTACCCCGCCTTCCTTCCACTACAGACTGATACACTCTTGAAGTCACTCTGTTTCGCTCCATTCTCTCTACATGTCCGAACCACCTCAACAACCCTTCCTCAGTCCTCTGGACAACAGTTTTGGTAATCCCGCACCTCCTCCTAACTTCCAAACTACGAATTCTCTGCATTATATTCACACCACACATTGCCCTCAGACATGACATCTCCACTGTGTGTATCCCATTTAAACACGTTAATTAACGTTTCACATAACAAATGCTATTTTTTTCTATTTTCGTCGTTTAGATTAAATTACATAAATCTATAAAACTGTCTTAAATTACAAAAAAAAAAGAAGAAACTGGTGGTGACACATCTGGCAATGTTGTGTTTAAGAATAACCAGGAAAAGTTCAGATCTTGACGAGCATCACTCATGCTATCAGGAATATGTTGCTTAATCATAATGATCAATCAGTTCACTGATTAAGCAACAGGTAACGTAAACGATTTAAGGATCCACTTCTCTTTAAAATCAACAGATCAGACTGTGACCTACTTATTCGTCTCCTGAGTGTTTCTTGTTTTAAGTTTTCACTTGAGCATTTACTAATTTGTTTAGTTCGCGCGTATGTACTCACCTATTTGCGGTTGCAGGGGTCGATTCAGCTCCTGGTCCCGAGAAAAGAATGATGCCAACATTTATCTTCCCAGGTGGTCACCCATCCAAGTACTAACCAAGCCCAACTTCGTTGAGGACGAGAAGCGGTTCGTTCAATATGATAAAATATCCACTGAGTTGAGTATATAGGAGTGTCTCAGGGGGCATAAGAGCATTCTTGATATTGTATGCCACTGAATTTATCGAAAAATAAAAGCCTTTCATATAACACCAACCTGTTCTCGTAAATTCACATTGTTTTCAGCAGGAAAGAGTGATCCGCGGAGTGCACTCTACACTGTTAGCCACAGTGGAATACTAAGTTTTAGGAACTTGAACATATTTTACAGTAGCTTAGGGACTCTTTCCCTATACGGTACTAAATCATTTTATTAAGTCTTAGTACCATAATTCTAATTGAAAGCCTTCTCAAATATATATCCTATTGTCGCTTACGAAAGTTGAAGATTTAAGACAAGGAAAGTACGTCAACTTTGGAAGGTGAAGTAAGATGACTAGTGTTGTGCGTACGACAACATGGACGAGTTGCCATGCGCGGCGCCTCGTATAAAACCAGCAACCCTGCAACGCCAGCAATCAAAACTAAACGCAAGAGGCTGTTGTACTGAACGTAGTGTACCAGGACTTTCCTTTGTTTTGTCGGGGCATAGAACCAGTTGAAGATGAAGCCTAAGTTCGGAAACGATTTGACAAATGTCATTCTCCGGCAGTCCCAGGTGGTGCAGACCCGGATGGCTGGGCGGGCAGTCATCAAGGTGGTGAACAGATGCAATGATGCAAAAGAAAACAACAGTCTCAGTACGTGATAAAATTGTTTTAGTTGCATATGATTAAGTGTAAGTGGCTGGCGTTGCCTTAGAAGTTAGCTGCATTTTATAATGTAGAAGTGTGGCGTTGGTTTTGGTATATAAAGGGTAGTATGGCAGGATACACACTCAGTAAAATCATGAAAAACTCTTAAGACTCCCTTGAATATATGTATATTGTAACGGACCCTCTGCATGTTCATTTCCCATTCTAACTTGCTCAGTAATGTGAAAATGGTGTAGAGGAACTGATGTAGACTGAAAAATGTTAAAACCCAGCTTGTGTTTTCGGGTAATCTAAACTTTCTAGTCGTTTTTATCTCATTCAACTTATCCTTTTATTCATATTTAAATTCTGCGGTATAGAAAATCATGTATATAAGTGAATTCCTCCTAACCCTTCTAGGGCCTAGTTTCTAGGTCTGTGTATTCCATAGAATGAGCTAGTTATATTTCGTCAGCAATATTTAGATGAAATTATGTAAGAATGATGAAAATATTCCTGTCTTTATAGAGCAGACGATCAAAAACTCAGAATTTTCCTAGATAGTTTGGTTGTTGCTGTTTCTGTTGCTACTGAAATCATTCGTTACTATTTGCAATTTCAAGTCGATAAATCTTAGATATTCATCGTGTACAGCTACATATATGATTAATAGAAATATAAATCAAATTAAGGAATACGATAATAGGGCGTACAAGAAGACTACGGATTGCTAACCCAGAGGGATTATTAGCCCAAGAAAGCCAAACTGTGGCGCTTTCCCATTCGGGTCTTTCTTTTGGTCCCAGTATGCGACCCACAACTCATGGTTATTCCATTTACTGTTAAGAAAGGGCAGCAGGTGGAGACCTGCCCAAACGTTTTCCTTGTCTCAGAATTCTACCCGGAGCCTTTTAGTTTGTGTGAAACGAAGTGAGCATTTTGTAAATTCATTTGTCAGGTTTAAATATGTCGACTTAAGTGATTTTATGATATCAAATTACCTGTACAAGTACGACAAGATTTTCTTTTTTTTGGCTCTTAAGTGTGGATTAAAGTAAACTCATTGTATATAATTTTGATACATACCTTCGTATATACCCAGACTCAACCTCCCAAGACAGTCATTTTTCTTTAACAGTATCTAATGATGTTAATTAAAGCAGAATAGTGTTGAACAAAGGCTTGTGTCGTCTGCATAAGGGGAACTTGGCTAGTTGCCAAATGTATCAACGTTTTTAATTTGCCTCCAGCGCATATTCATGTAAAGTGAGCTACAATGCTTTACTCGTACTGTATATTAATCATAAATTGATTTATAAATTTGAAAGGTCGGCACCATTTAGTAAAAAAATAAATTAGTGAAATTATGAGCAAAACAGTCATTAAAAGTTTTTTAATATCTAAATTCTGTTAGCTATAAAAATGATAATATTTCTTGAAAAATCTGAGTATTGCATTCTGAAATTTATAATAGTTAATAGTTTAATTACTGATATAAACCGAGGCCGACGATATTCCAGGAAATATACGATGGATATTTCTTGGTAGTGTTGGCAACCATCGCTCAGCTGAGTGCCGGGGTTGTTGTGATGACGCAATATTAACCAACACCTCCCACCATTAAATTTGTCGCGTACCACAAAACGTTACCGCAAGAAATATATGCCACAGTGTGTATACTAAAAGATACATACCTCGGTGTATATATAACGAAATTTCTCTCCAGTGGGAAATATCTCATTAATACGCTGGGACCTATGTATCTATATTTGCATTGATACATAGTTCATATACTATACCCTACCTGGAGTTTACCTAGAGAGGGTTTCGGGGGTCAACGCCCCCGCAGTTCGGTCTGAGACCAGGCCTCATGGTGGATCAGGGTCTGATCAACCAGGCTGTTGCTGCTGGCCGGTCGTAAACTGACGTACGAACCACAGCCCGGTTGGCCAAGTACTGACTTTAGGTGCCTCTCCAGTGCCTTCTTAAAGACAGCCAGGGGTCTAGTGGTAATCCCTCATATGTATGATGGGAGGCAGTTGAACAGTCTTGGGCCCCGGACACTTATTGTGTTGTCTCTCAATGTACGCGTGGCCAGGGATTCTTAACTTTTCCTCCATGATTAACCCCCTCGGCTTGATATATTTCTCCATTTACCCCCGTCCATACAAAAAAATTATCACCATCATAAAGAGACAGAAAAACAAGGTCAGAAAAAATAGATTATTCAGGTTTTGCACAAAAATAGCAATATACATTCGTATCACCAAAAATAAAAAAAAAAACATTCTTTTCTAAAGAAATAATTATACATCAGTTACATCAAATATTTACCCCTTGCCATCTAGTTTTTTTTTACCCCCAAGGAGTAAATTTATCCCTGGTTGAGAATCGCTGCTCTGGGTGATATTGGGACATACACACCTCAGGGTAGTGGTGTCAGCTGACGGACGCTACCTATCCTAGGGAAGTAATGCCATCTGCGGAATCTTACCCACCCTGGGGTAGTGCAGCCGGCTGTGGAACGTTTATCCATCCTGGGGTAGTGGTGTTAGCGGTGATCCTATCTATCCTGGGGTAGTAGTTATATGTATGGGACTTTATACCCTCCCCTGGTGTAGTAGTTCCATGTGTGGGACTTGACCCTCCCTGAGGCAGTGGTGCCAGCTGTGGGTCCTTATCCACCCTGAAGTAGTGGTCTCAGCTGTGGTCCCACATCCACCCTGAAGTAGTGGTCTTGGCTGTGGTCCCACATCCACCCTGGGGTAGTGGTGTCAGCTGTGAGTCCTTATCCACCTTTGGGTAGTGATCCAAGGAAGGGAAGGATAACCACAATTCTTGGAACAATAGCCCTTGACTAGTATCAAGGCAACCCCCTGAGGAGTGATATTTAGGAAGGTGGGATTGATTGTCGCTAGGCAGGTATTTATCTCAATGTCAAACTTTCAAACTTGAAGTATGTCGTCAATTGTGCAGCTTTTTATTTGAGCTTGGAATCTTTTTTTCTTTTTTACACCTGCTCACCACATTATCGTTTGTGAGACTAAAACAGACTGCAATGTGGCTGCCAGCATTTGCTTGTCATAAAGATGAATGCGCAAGACATGGTGGGGGTATTAGGTTCATCAGAAATATATCCTCACTGCGAGAGATAAGTGTATACTGTTGAACGTTTCCTTTTTATTCTTAGTTATCTCATATCGCAGACGTTTTCATTTAATTTGCTTATTTATGGTTAAATATGTTTTTATGGGATAAGAACCTAATTTAACCTTACCTATGGATAGTAGTATCTGTAAATAGAAAGCATTAAAAATGACGGTCGGTACTCGTAAGAAAATTTAATATAGTAAAATGAGAATAGGTTGCTATGCTAGGGATCCACCCAACTTAAAAATATCAGTGGATTACAGTGCGTCCTACTTGTACACACCTCTTGGTGTATATTTTTATCATAGCTTTAATATTCTCAAGGTTTTCAAGTGACAAGACACAATGGAGATGCCAGTACTCGCCGGGCCAGCTAAACAATGTCTCACGCATCTTTCACTGTATTTCACAAATTCGAAGTACGATCTCGGAGTCACGCTACATTAAGCTCAGGAAGCATGACGTGATGCCTGCTCTTACAAAAATAGAAACAGAGTATCAACATACATATAAAAAGGTATATATTTTTGCACGGTGACTAGACAAAATGCACGCTCATTAAGTTTCCGTTTTTACACATCCTATGTTTGTCAGCGACGCAGCCCAGTTCATCAACAGTTATAAGAAAATAAGCAAGACTTAAACACTTGAAAATTATTTAACTTACAAGGAAATAAAATCAAATTAACTTTATCATAAATTCGCTCAAGTCATGTCATACCTACTCATAAGGCTGAGTATGAGGCTTTACTCCATCACTGTTCATATAAGTTCATTCCACCTCACCATTACCCTGAAACTAAATAATGTACTTTCTAATATCTTTGACTCGTATATGATTTTAGCTTCCATCTATATCCTTGTTTTCTTGGACCTTGTATTTCATTTTTTTTTTTTTAAATTGGCAGTGTATATATTTTTACATTTAAGTACTGACTTGACAGCTCTAGGATCTGACGTTTCTTGTTACTGGAAATGTGAATGAAATTACTTTTTTAAAACGACTTGCCGAAAAAAATGTAAGGACACCTTAAGCATACTGGACTAGCATTTCATTCCCTTGAATCAACAATTACATTCATGAGGAAGCGCAACGCTCGCAGAGGTCATAGAGCCTCTCAGGAATAGAAGGTACTCAGGTTTGAGCCAAGGGGGGATACTTCCAATTCCTATTCACCATTATCAAGGTCCTGCACGCATCATATTTGAGGGGTTGAACCAACAATAAATGCAATATGCTCCTCGGGCTACTAAACTTTAATATTATTATATTTATTTTATATTATTATTATTATTATTATTATTATTATTATTATTGAATTCGTTGTGGAAGCACAAAACTGCAATCGGTCAGACTACTAACTTGACGCACAAACATATCAGATAAATAAAAACTTAAAATTTGTGTTAAGTGGGGAGAGGGCAGGGACATGACACTACTTCAGGTGTGTGTAGTAACTTGTGAGACCATCTGCTGAGGTCCACACCTGCTGTCACTCATAACACCATCACCAAGGAAATGAAAGTGATATTTGCAGCGCCATGCTCACGCGTTTATAGCTTTGCAGGGAAGGCCGGTGTTGCAGTGGATCTTTGGACATACAGTTTGTAGCAGATTTCTTAGTTAAGAAAAACTATAAATACAAGATGAAATGTGATTAAAAAAAAAGTCTGCCGCGCAAATATTATTAATATTTTGGGGGAGTGCTAAACCCGTAGGATTATACAGCGCATGTGGGGGATGGGAGGTATTTAGGCTCAGTTCAGGGAACCAGAGCACAGATCCAATTCCCTAGATCAAGAGCCCCTCACCAGCGTCAAGGAACCTCCCTTGAAGGGTGCCGCGCAAATAGAAA